TTTTTTTTTTTTTTTTTTTTTTGAGACGGAGTTTCGCTCATGTTACCCAGGCTGGAGTACAATGGCTTGATCTCAGCTCACCGTAACCTCCACCTCCTGGGTTCAGGCAATTCTCCTGCCTCAACCTCCCGAGTAGCTGGGATTACAGGCACGCGCCATCATGCCCAGCTAATGTTTTGTATTTTTAGTAGAGACGGGGTTTCACCATGTTGACCAGGATGGTCTCGATCTCTTGACCTTGTGATCCACCCGCCTCGGCCTCCCAAAGTGCTGGGATTACAGGCTTGAGCCACCGCGCCCGGCTAATTACATTTTTTTTTATGAACATACTATAACTTGGCAGGGTGCGGTGGTACACACCTGTAATCCCAGCACTTTGGGAGGCCGAGGCATACGGATCTCCTGAGATTCAGAGTTTGAGACTAGCCTGGCTAATATGTTGTAACCCCATCTCTACTAAAAAATACAAAAAATTAGCCGGGCGTGGTGGCACACGCCTGTAATCCCAGCTACTTGGAAGGCTGAGGCAGGAGAATCTCTTGAACCTGGGAGGCAGAGGTTGCCGTGAGCCGAGATCCCACCATTGCACTCCAGCTTGGGCAACAGAGTGAAACTCTTGTCTCAATCAATCAATCAATAACGTGTACCAAAATGCATTGTGTTTATAAGGTCTAAAGTAGTGTACTGGAATGTCCTAACCGTCACATTCATGCCACTGAGTAACTGACTCACCAGAGCAACTGCTGGTCCTGCAAGCTTCGTTCACGATAAGTGCCCTCTCTCGGTGTGCCAGTTCTGAAATCTTTTATACTGTATTTTTACTGTACCTTTTCTGGTTACGTATGTTTAGGTACACAAATACTTTACCATTGTGTGGCTAGGATTGTGTGTAGTAGGCTACACCACCTAGGAGCAGTAGGCTATGTATCCTGTAGCCTGGGTGTGTGGCAGGCTGTGCCATTTAGAGTTGTGTGTAGTAGGGTACACCCATAACCTAGGTGTGTCGGTTACACCACCGAGGGTTGTAGTAGGCCATATCATCTGGGAGTAACAGGCTGTACCCGTAGCCTAGGTGTATAATAAGCTATACCATCTAGTCCTTGAATTCTGTATTGTTGACAGCATAACAAAATTACCTAAGAATGTGGTTTCTCAGAATGTACTATCAGTGTTAAGTGACACACGACAGTCTGTCAGGTTGTTAATACTGACACGTGAAAGCCATCTTGTTACTGAAAGAGTAATGCTTGAGACTATATTACTGGTAATACTGTTTTGGAAGTCTTGTCCAGTGTAACACAATAAAGAATAGTAAGATGCAACATTTAGAAATGTTGACCTGGGGCCAGGCTTGGTGGCTCATGCCTGTAATCCCAGCACTTTGGGAGGCCGAGGCAGACAGATCAACTGAGTTCAAGAGTTCAGGAGTTCAAGACCAGCTTGGCCAATGTGGTGAAACCCCATCTCTACTAAAAATATAAAAATTAGCCAGGCATGCTGGTGGGCGCCTGTATTTTCAGCCACTCAGGAGGCTGAGGCAGGAGAATCGCTTAAACCTAGGAGCTGGAGTTTGCAGTGAGATGAGATCATCCAACTGCACTCCAGCCTGGGCAACAGAGTGAGACTCCATCTCAAAAAAAAAAAAAGTACAGAAATGGGGAAATGGAAGAGGGGTTAACATGCCATGTGGAAGAGTCTGGAGCTTTTCTTTCAAACTGACTTGAATTATGGCAGTGCCCTGCCCTGTCCTGTCCCTTAGATGAATTGTTTCTTGATGTCTTTCCATCAGCTTTTTCTTTTTTTAAGAGAAAGGGCCCACTGTGTTACCCAGGCTGGAGTGCAGTAGCAGAATCATAGCTCATTGGAACATTGGATTCCTAGGTTCAAATGATCCTCCTGCCTCAGCCTCCTACAGGCACACAGTACCATACCCGATTTTTTAAATTTGTTTTTAAAGTGGGGTCCACTTCCGTTTTCTCATTAGGAAAATGAAATGCTATCACTTGACAGAAGTTTTTTTGGGAATTATCCCATGTCAGTGTACGGAGCCTAGTATTTGGCTATCGAAAGACAGCAGTCCTCCTCTCCTATTATTTATGTTGGTGGATAATTGATGAGAAATCTTGGTAGAAAACTAAAGCCACATTTTTTAGCAAAATAAAGGCAGTAAGAGCGCCAGAAGATTTGATACACCTTTGTGAAGGTATTACACAATTGTCCTCTAAACTTGGAAGTATCAGAAGGTAAGTCCTCCCGTGATGACCGTCTAACAGTTTAAGTAAACCTTTTTTTAATAAAAGGGGATGTAGATCCTGGTAGTTTGTTGCTCGTGTTACACAATATACAGCTTTGTACACATTAATTTCTCAACAAGTAAATTGACTGAGTATAGATGGTTTACAAAGAAGGGGATGGGAAAGTGCCTAGGGAAACATTCGCCCTCTGTATCAAGAATAGCGTTCTTCTCATTGGTAACTTTTCTCTGATTCGGCAGGTTTGAAGTGAAACTGACATTGGCGGTTTCGGTACTGTCTTGGAAAACTGGCGTAATCTCTTTGGAAGACAGTTCCCCGACAGTTCCTTTACTGTATTTAAAGTTGAAGAGATCTTATGAGAGTCTTGAGGCTTAGAAAATCATTGCTATCCCAGCGCTTTGGGAGTCCAGGGTTACAGCTGCTTCAGGCCAGCAGTTTGAGTCTGCAGTAAGTCGTGACGGTGCCACTGCACTTAATCCTTGGCGACAGAACAAGAACCTACCAAAAAAGAGAGGTTATAGACGTACTTCAGGAAGCTGCTGGGGTCGGTGTTTTGGGACAAGTACTTAAAGGAGGTCACAACAGCATTTGATCATTGGGCTTGTGTTTGCACTGGGCGCCAGTCATTCTCTTGTCTTTGAAAACAGAAAAGCTCTCTTTGCTGACTCATTAAATATACCCCCATGGCTCTGCGGTAGGTTCAAGTTGTATAAACCACCCCTTGTCATGTTCCATCCTATAATTCCTTACCTCATGGATTGAGTGGTACCAGGACTGACCCTGGAGAATGCGGCTTTTTTATGCAGAACCCACGGAAGTTCTTTTATCTTAAGGGAAGGCCTGTGCTCGCCACCCTTTAATGTGGATTACAACTGGCGATGCTGTGGGTCTTGTTCCTCACAAATTACAGAACTTACATGTGCTAATAAGCCTTGGCCTTCAAAGTAGTTACCTAGATACAAACAGTTCTCCATGCTCTTCCTTTGAAATGTCCTGCAGGGACTGCCTTCCAGCCGGGTGCATTTCCTCAGCACGAATCGCATTCTGCTTTCCCCACCCTGCTCACTCCCTGGCCTCCCCTCCTGGGCAGCTGCTCTCACCTCACTCTGCCACTGCGCTGCCTTTGCCTGGCAGCCCGCCTCCAGCTGCTCCTGATGCCCCTCCCAGAGCTGCCCCTTCCACTGAAGGTGCTAAAGTATGGCTTTCTCTTTGTGATTTGGGAAGATAATTTTTTTTTAACTGTTAAGGGAGTTTCTTGCCAGTGATGCTTGCTATGAAAGACACTTGGTTATCTCCAAGTTTTTTATTTTATTTTTTTCAAGAGAATAAACTGGCTTATGTCCCTACACAGCTGAGCAGAGGTTTTCCCTGATTGTCATAAGGAGGCTTTTGCCCGTGTGCCTCACTGGCCACTTTTTGACTGGCGGCAGCAGCAGCGTCAGTACCTGGGAGCGCCCTAATCTATCTTTTCCTTTCTCTTCTTCACTTCTAACTATAGGGAAAACGTCCACAGCGCACAAAGGCAGAGTTGCATCCTAGGTGCATGTCTGACCACCTGTCCATCAAACCCATCAAGCAAGAGGTGAGTGTGTGTGAGAGCAGTGAGGAGGAGCTTTCCCGATGACAGAGACAGATTCTTTTCATGTACTTCCATTCCTGCCTGCTTATTTTCCTTTACTTCATGTTTTTTCCTAAACCCCAAATGTTTATCGAGCATTCTTGTGCTTAAGATGCATTTCTAGAAAGAGAAAGAATTATAAAAAGACATGAGGCCACACTCTTTGGTTCTTAACAATCTCCTGGGATGGTAGGCATGGCCACATTTAACGTACTAGAGATGAGAATACATTCTGCAGTGGGCATATGTATACTAGCAGTTCACAGAGGCAAAGGCAGGAGAAAGAGCTGGCAATGAAAAGAGGATTTGAGTAGGCAGAGCCATATTTGACCCGAGTCTTGAGATGGCTAGTATTGACAGAGCGGGAACAAAGAGCGGGGAAGAAGGAAGGCAGAAGGCATCCCACACTACAGGAATAGTAGAAACGAAAGCACAGAGACAGGAAATGACACAGTATGATCAAACAGTGTATATTAGAGCCGGGCACATGGCTCACACCTGTCATCCCAGCACTTTGAGAAGCCAAGGCAGGTGGATTCCTTGCACTTACGAGTTTCAAACCAGCCTGGCCAACAAGGCAAAACCCCATCTCTACTAAAAATACAAAAATGCCAGGTGTGGTGGCACGCACCTGTAATCCCAGCTACTCGGGAGGCAGAGGTTGTAGTGAACTGAGATTGCACCACTGTACTCCAGCCTGGGCGACAGAGTGAGACTCCATCTCCCAAAAGAAAGGAAAACATGAGAGTTTGTGGCCGGTTTGTTGTTTTGCTTCTAACTGGAGACGTAGCATGGACCCAAAAAGTGTCCAGGAATGAGCGCAGATCTGTGTGATCCCTGGTGAGATGAAATACTTAGGTGTGAAGGCCTTGCCGTGTAGTGTAGGTAATCACATTTCTCCAAAGACACAAAGCAAAAGAGGACACCTGTCTTTTCAGAGGGCAGGGAAGTGTTTAGGTCACATAAGAGAAAGGGCATCACGTGGGAGTTTGAGATAAAATGTCAGGTGAAGAAGGAATGTTTGGAGCAACCACTAATTATTAATGAAGGCGTTTTCCAAGCAGCATTCCAGAGCCGGCCAGACATTTTCATTTTGTAATACAGCTTACGAGAAGTGGAATGCCCAGCTCAGGAGCCTGAAGCAGGAGATTTACTTGAGCCCGGGGGTTTGAGACCAGCCTGTGCAACATAGCAAGACCCCCACCTCTGGGGGGAAAAAAAAAAAAAAGTAGTAAAGTGACATTATCACATCACACTGTAGGCAGGGACAACATTGTTAGTTGTGTTACTGAGATTGGAAAATTGGCCAGGTGAGAGTCCAGTGAGCCGTAAGAAACCTAGATTGCTGGTAGTAATTAATGTTTGAATGTGGAGTCAAAAAGGAGAGTGAAATACAGGAGGAAGCCAGGAATAAGGAGAGGCAGAGGGGGAATGCAGAAAGCCACCCTCCGCATCCTGCTTCCTGTTCCATGCAGGTTCCAGGAAGCACACGGGCTTCCCGCCCACGCACCTTCTAAACTGCCTCCGCCTGCTCTCCCTTCTAACCAGAGAAGGCTGTTCTCCATTATCCATCGATCTCACTGGGTTCTCTCAAGTTCAGACTCAGTGCTAGCCAGACTTCATATTCTGTCTACTTGTAACCTTTGATCTCCTTTGAGCACTTTTTCATCGAATATTTAAACAGTTCAGTGATCATAGAGAGTTTGAGTTAAGGGACAGTAGTTTTACTCTGAGCCATGCCTTTGGATTGTTGCGTTTCCTGGCTCTTCAAGTTCCCTCCTTCCCTTGAGCTCTTAAATTTCATGGCTCTTAAATTGAAGTGACAACAGGATGGTCTGTTACAGCGATCTTGTCAATAACTCAGCCTTCCACCTTGAGCCCGGAAAAGGGAAAGCGAATTTGTAAATTTGTATTTACTTCAGTCTGTTTCGATTTCACCTTTGTCTCTTTTTAGCTCAGAGATGTGTCTTGCCCCGTTTGTAATTACCCGGGGGTTAACAAGTCTATTAATGACTGACCTCCCTTCTCCAACATCCTTTTCCTCCTAGTCCTCACTAATTTTGGAACGGCCCTCGGTCCTGGTATCCAGCCGTGTTCTCAAATGGTTTTCCAGCCTGGCCTTGTTGGGCCCTCTCTGCTATCTTATTACCTTGGCAGTTCACACCTCCTGGAAAGCTCCCTTTTCTATTTGCTGTTCACTGCCCTGAGCATTCCTAGATGCCCTAGCCTGCAATTCAGATTGCATAGCAGGCTGAATAGACTGGAAGGTTCTTCATGGCTCCAAGCAAAGCTTTAACAGCAAACACTAACTAAAATTTCTTATTTTATTCTTGGCAATGTTTGAGCTTTGTTTTATTCTACTTTTTAGTTTGTCTTTTTTTTTTTTTTTTTGAGAGACAGGGTTTCACCATGTTGGCCAGGATGGTCTCGATCTCTTGACCTCGTGATCCACCCTCCTCGGCCTCCCAAAGTGCTGGGGTTACAGGCGTGAGCCACCGCGCCCAGTCCTCTACTCTTTAGTTTGAACAAAAACCACAGTATTATAGAGACTGTAAAATTATCTGTTGCGGCCCCCGATGTCCTGGAGAAAATCCTAGCAGTGACGTGAGTTTTTAAGCATGGAGGCAGAGTTTATGGCCTACATTGGTCAGTCCAAGCTTACTGCCTCAAAAAGACATTTAGTCGTGACTTCTGGGGCAAATGTCAGTGAGGGGCGAGCGGCTGACTGAACTCCAGGATTTGGCGTGCAGTGGTTATTTTTGTCCGGCGACTTCGGTCATTGCCGTTGCTAGGGAGCTGTTTGTTGGGTGGCAGTCTCAAATGTGCTGCTAGCAGGGCACAGGGGTGCCAGCGAGTCTGATACCCGCCCTCAGAGAGAGGAGCGTGTTGTAAGGGCACAGCGTATTGGGCATTGCTAAACCCAGGAGTTCTGTTGAACTGTCCTTTACTGGATTTTAAAGTGGCGTTTCTCATTAGCTTCTCATTAAAACCCCGCCTTGAGCCGGGCACGGTGGCTCATGCCTGTAATCCCAGCACTTTGGGAGGCTGAGGCAGGCGGATCACCTGAGGTCAGGAGTTCGAGACCAGCCTGACCAATATGGTGAAGCTCCCTCTTTAAAAAATAAAAATAAAAATTTAAAAACTGTTGATTCTAGCAGGCCTCTTACCCGTAAAGCATTCAGACGCCAACTTCTATCCCATTTGCAGCTGACCTCACTTTTTAAAGAAGAAAATCGCAGCACAAGACAGTATCAGATTTTTTTAACTGTAGGTGTATTTTTGCCTGGTTGGTTGTCGTTGATGTGGTTGTGCTGGTTCTTCAGTCTTTGAAACACTGCCAGAAGGTGAATCCTGTGCTTTCAGCAAGACTTGCTTTACCTGGTACGGCCTAGTGCTGACAATCAGCACAGAAATTTTAAAACAGACTGTGGTGCACAACATAGTGTTTTCTTCTCAGACGTGCGTAATGGCATTTAGGTAGAATTGTTGCTTTTTTCTCAGATGTGCGTAATGGCATTTAGGTAGAATTGGTTTCTTCTCAGATGTGCGTAATGGCATTTGGTAGAATTGGTTTCACTTCTTAGATGTGCTTAATGGCATTTAGGTAGAATTGGTTTCTTCTCAGATGTGCGTAATGG